TTCACACATTTTCCTGTTAAAAAGGAAACCTACCAAGGCAGGAGGGCAATAGAAAGGAACCATAATCCCAGAGTCAGTAACAATCTAAGAGGTCAACTATCATTATAAACTGACTAGCTGGAAATATCTACAATTACTAAAACACCAGAAGAAATTCAGTAATGTAAGGCTGCAGGATGCATCTCCCTGTCCTTGCTTCTTGAAAAGGTAAGCTTGTCAAGAGAAAACTGAGCAGTTGAAGTTCACTTAAGGTAAAATTCCATCTCAAAAAGAAAAGACAGAAAAAATATTATCCTCTCAAAACTTGTAGGCAAAAGTAGTGATATGAAATAAAATCTTACCAATTCTTCAACTGAAGTACATGAAGGCCAAAACCAGCATGGTTAACCAAGAAGAGATTCAATTCATTGGTCCGGGCAGATCTCTGAATCCCATGACACTGTAGATGGACTGAGATGCAGCAGAACCCAATGGATTTTCAAACAATAAAAGTAATAAAATCAATAACGTACTAAAAAAGTTGCGAAAGAATCACTTATCCTCAGAATATTTATGAGGAGCACAGCAAAGCATATTGGCTGTAGGAAAGAGACAAGTAAAAATGTGGGGAATGAAGTTACTGTAGTACAGTAACACAAGTTTATTACTGAGGTTTGAGTAGACTGAATCACCTCCAGGGATAATCTCAATGACCCTTCTTCTTGCTGAATTCTTAAGGAACCATCAGATCTGAACAAGAGTTTGCTTCTTTAGTTCTGGTTTCGTTGGCGAGTGATTATTTATGTAACAGTCTAACACAGGGGTCACCAAACTTTTTTCACAGTGGGCCGGATAACTGAAAGAATGACGAGAGCGGGCCGCATAATCATTCTGTTCAATACTTGCAAGCCAGAACGAAAGCTCTGGTAACGTCAGAGCGTAGGCGGAGCTACCACGAGCCGGGGAAGGACTTGGGATCCGGCCCACGGGCCGTAGTTTGGTGACCCCTGGTCTAACAGAAAGCAGACAACCCCACCGAGAAGTAAGGCTATGCTAGGGGATGTGCTGATGGTGAAATCTCACAGGTCTCTTGTCAAAGGACCCATAACCCATAAAAATGAAACAGTAAAATTTTTCAAAAGATTATTCAATGGTATGCAGTATCTACAAATTAATGTTATTTAAATGCTTAGCTACAGGGAAGGTGACTTGCCAGAAAATAAGTTACTTCCTTGTAATGATCATTCTCTTTCATCTAACATAATAAAATCCAACAGCAACATCATACACAAGCTGTCAACCATATTATTGTTCCCATTATCACCTAATCAATTCTAATACATTACTGTACAAGATACATATTTTTATCTATTTTCTGAATCAATTAATCAATCAATCGGCTGATACAAAAAAAAATAATGACTACAGTAGTCAGTATCATTCATAAATCTATTAAAATGCAGGAATATGGAGAGAGGATCCCATAGCAGACAAAATATTTGTTTCCAAGTGCATTTAAAGTTAAAATTAAGTCTGTCTGAATGTAACAACTCAAGGGGGAAAAAGAAGGCTTATGTGTTGGTCCACGGTAAAATCATCACAAACACTGAGATAAAGTCACCAATTGGTTATTGCAGTAAAACTGTCTGATATTATTGGGAATTTTTCGTTTCATTTCTCTTAAAGAAAATTTTATGTATCCAGATATTATTAAGGATACAATTTTATACCAGAAATGTCATTACTGGATAAGAATATTTTTTGCTGTAATTATTTTCTGACCAATTCCAAAATGGTTTGGACTCAAGTCGATCAGTGTCATTTTGGTTCATTCATTAAATTTCACCAATCGTTTTATCTCTAATAATGTTTCAATTTATGCCAATTTGCATGGTCGAAAACTAAATTCAACATATATTTTTGCCGGCACTTGTAGAGTATACTGTATTATGGTTGGAGTATGAGGAGGGCAGGACATACTGGTTAACATATGTACATATTACAGCTAAGCTTTGTGGTAATAAAGAGGTTAAGTCCCTGTGAGTGATAGATCCTGGTGTGTATGGAAATGCCTATTAGTTATTGAAGTTTAGGAATAATAAAATATTTAGTAACTCAATAAGCAACTTGCATATGGGAGGTTCTATGTCATTTTTGTCTCACTTCAAGTGCATTACACCAAGCTAAGCTTGTGCAAGTATGCTGAATATAGGCACATTGACTTGTGGAAAAAACTAAGGAAAACATCACTGATAAGCGTCATCCAAAGTGGAAGAGGCTGGGAGTAAGAGGATGAAATGGCCAATGAAAGAGGCCTGACCTGTTGAAGTGCCTTGCTTTGACTTGAAGGCTTGATAAATGGAGAGGACATGACCTGATGGAGGTCCTTGATTTAAGATGAGGGCTTGATGTGTTGAGGGGGCTTCATTTATGGATGGGGCCAAGCATGTGAGGGGCCCTTTGCATGTTGAATGGGCCTGCAGTGTGAAATGTTCTTGGCTTGGGGAGGGGGCCTTACGAGATAAGGAAATCTGGCGAGTTGCAGGGCCCGAGCGTAGGGAAGGCACCTGATGTGGGGAGGGAGCTTGGTGTTTGCAAGAAGCCTGCAGTTTGGAGGAAGCATGACGTACGAGAGGGGCCTGATGTGTGGAGGGGGCCTGTTTTGAACAGGTGGACTTATATGGAGTGGTGCCCTGATGAGGCGAGGGCACCCGAGAATCGGAAAGGACCCGACGCGGGGAGCGGGCCAGACGTCGGGTGGGATCCAGACGTGGTATAGGAGCCAGAAGGGAGGATGGGGTTAGATGTGGTGAAGATGTCAGACCGGTGTGACGTGAGGAAGGTACTTTGATTGGTAACGGGGAATGACACGTAGCCAAACGTGAGGAAGGGGCAAGACGTGGAGAAGACGTTTGACGCAGGTTGGGGGTCTGACGAGGGTAATGTGTCTGGTGTACGGCAGGGGTGTGATGTGAGGAAGATGGATGACGATGGGATGGGGCTAGACGTGGCGAAGGAGTCTGATGTGTGGAGGAGGTTTGACGTTTCTGGTGTTGGGAGCTGGTCTGGCGTGGGGAACGGGATTTTTGTGAGGAGGAAACCTGCTGAGGAGAAGGAATCTGTTGTGGGGAGGGGACCTGTTGTGGGGAGGGGATCTGTTGTGGGGAGGGGACCTGTTGTGGGGAGGGACCTGTTGTGGGGAGGGATCTGTTGTGGGAGAGGGACCTGTTGTGGGAGAGGGGAGGGGACCTGTTGTGGGGAGGGGACCTGTTGTGGGGAGGGGACCTGTTGTGGGGAGGGGACCTGTTGTGGGGAGATGCCCTGTTGTGGGGAGGGGACCTGTTGTGAGGAGGGGACCTGTTGTGGGGAGATGCCCTGTTGTGGGGAGTAAACTGGATGTGTAGGGAGGGGCTGGTGCTTGGAGGGAATGTCTGGAGTGCGGATGAGGTCTTGCTTACGTACTGGTCCTGGCATGTGGATGGGAGAACCATTAAGTAAATTTCTAATTAGCAAGTTAGTGATAATTGTCACATAGTCTTATTGTTATACTCTATGCAAGTAGAATGATGGGTTTCAGTGGTTAATACTATGCTTGTAGGGATATCAATCATGGAGAAAAATAAGTTGAACATTAGTTGTGTGAGAACAGAGTAGCTCGACTATTCATGATCTTCTGGGTAATATTTAATCAGGTATTATGTATCTGAAATATAACAATCATGTAAATTAGAAAACTTTAGAAATTATGGATAGTGAGTACAGTATAGCCAGAGATAATGTCCCTCATCACACACTGGTTACATTAAGGGAACTTTCTTTTTCATTTTCACAAACTGGTTGTCAATATATCAAGAAGAGACAGAGGAAGACAAAGATTAACATGATGCTGATAATGGTAATGATGATGATGTTAATAATTATAGTTTATGAGGATGTTACTTTCTTCTAAGGTGGCAGAGATACAGTAGGAAAATGATATTTTAATAGTATAAAAAGTCAGATCGTTATTTCATGATCAGAAGAAAGAACAAAAGACCTAAAATTTTAATAATTCTAATATTTTCTTTTGCTTATAAGATCATGAATTCATCCACAACACCCTCTTCTGTGATGATAACCATGAGTACAAAGCTTCACTCCTATAAATTATATTGTTCAAAATTGTAGAAAATGATATGACGGACAGAATGATGAATGATCACAAAAAGGTAGACAGAACTTGAGAATGTTATGTCAACCACCCTTTACCAGGGGACGAAATGTAAAACACTCCGAGGGCAATTGTTTATGTTTGAGGCATTATGTATCTGGTAGCTTTTATCTTAGGTTCCTGACTTTAACTACTGGATATATTATAACTTATGTACTGTATTTTTTAATTTGTTGCTCAATACACTCTGTGACCAAACATAAAAAAGTAGAGTTTTAAACAAAATATAGTTGTCCCTTATTCTCAATTCTACTCCCTGGGCTCAACCTTTTAAAGACAATTTACATCTATGACAGGCAGAAAGAATATACAGTAGCTCCTGTGATAAAATGCGAAGCTATGACTATCAACGATAGTTTGTGTAGAAACGAGGAGGTCTAGTGCCTATGCCAATAATAGGGAGAGTATGTAAGCTATCCTGATTTTTCAAATAATCGAGCCAAAACCTAAACATGAACAATCATATGTAGTGCATAGAAGTCAATATCTACTGTACAGTATGTAGATAAAATACAGCAATGATCACTTAAAATCTTATCAGCAATAAATTGTAAACAATGGGCAACAGTCTAATTGTTAGAAGGAATCAAACAACTGAAGAATTCCTATAAGCATGACTAAACAATTACAAATAGGTATTAAATGTTAAAATGGCACTCTTACAAGCTCTTTTCCGCTTCAATGCAGGGTGGCAGAAATCAAGAGTAACAAAGCATCTCTATTATTCTCACAGCCAATTTTTGTGAACCAAGAATTGTATCAGCCACAAGAACATTCCTACTTGAAAATTAACGTTCATTACAGTACTTACTCGGCCCTCCAGATGTGGGTGAGCGGGTAGGAGACTGGGAGTCTACCACAGGTATGTGCAGACATCGTTGACACAAACATTCCTTTCCAGTATAAGTAACTCGTTCACCCGTTGGAAATGGTTGTCTGTAATGCAGAAGAGATCATTTGACTCAATAGAAAATTGAACCCAACCTTTAAACTAAATTCTTAAACAAAATAGGACGGGATTTCAGGTCTCCTAATAAAGACTATTTGTGATTTATGTGGACAGGAACTGTAGAGCAGAAAAGTAAGAGGTTAAAATGAGGGACAAAATTATAGTATCAAGTTGTTTGAAGTGTAACATGCATATCTCTCTCAACTGTGTCTTGGGTTCATTCCTTTGCTCTGGACAGATGTGAGAGGAGTGTTCTCCAGTGTGACCTTACCAAACATTGCAGGTTTTCCCTGGGTACTCCAGTTTCCTCCTGTACTAAGACTGGACAACAAAACAAAGAACACACCAACTACCTGAATGGCTTTTCAGCTGATTAGTGATGGGAAAAAAAATGACCACAAGTGCGGTGATCCAAAAATTGGAAGTACGTATTACGTTAGGTTTCCTTACGAGTAAATTATATGGCCACTAAAGATGAACCTAATGCATAACAGTAAGATATAAACATACCTGCAACGAGCACACGTGAAGCATTTCTGATGGTAAGAGTTACCGAGGGCAGAGACAACTTCTCCCTCCACATATAGTCCACATGTTGCACAACGCTGGCCAAAGTTTTTCTGGTAACATTCAGTACAATAGTAGTCCTTATCTCGAGTGAAGAAGCCTCCCTGTGCTAGTGACTTCTTGCAACCTAGAAAATTATAAAGAAATTAAAATAGCATCATACAAGAACTGCAAATGGAAACTCTTTTGAAAATATATCTGAGCAATCACGAGAATGAACTACCACATCTAATAACTTACAGTGGTTCAGAGGCCATAAACATTCATACTCTTATTGATCAAACTTTTTTAGGAAGTAAGCATCTGGCATCCTTTTGATTCTTACTCCTTGTTTTAACTTAGTATTGGTAGTAATTAAAAAAAAATTATAGTTAAATTTCACAACAGTCATGAAGAAAATTTGATAATTTCCTAAAACTCCCATTTGCCCTCACATTTTATTCCTGATTGGAATATAATAAAACAAATGTAATAACAACAGTACTGTACTGCACTTCTTTGATACGAAAACAAATTAGTTTTCCAGAAAAAAGAAAATGTGGTTCATATCTCATCACTGGCACTTACTGTGGCACTTGAAGCAGTTGATGTGGAAGTACTTCTCTTGGACTCGTAGCACTTCACCAGAGCACTTCTTTCCGCAAGCCTCACACAGTGTTTTCCCTGCAAATGTGTAATGATGTTAAAATCAGATGTCACTATAATAAAGGACACGTTTGGTTCTAATAACAAGTCTTAAAGATGAGTTTTCATAACACAATATCTTCTAAAGATTCAGGTTTACCTGTTAAGAAAACTTTGTCCACCAAGTTTATCTAACTTCATGTTTGTTTACTAGCACAACTATCTCAGGCTTTTTTTTTATGAAAACATTGTCCTTCAGTTTAAGTTACCAAGATAATAGTTCTTAACATTTATCAATAATATCCTGTTGTTATAATACTGCATAAAAAAAAATTGTCTTTCAGAAATGCCAAAAACATTTTGTCTTTAAAATCACAAAAGAAAACTATCTTTCAGGAATATCACACATATTTACAGAGAAAACTTGAAGTACATTATTTTGGGAATGACAACAAGAAGGTGGCGGCTACAATTCTTATTACTAAAGCTCTTTACCTTGGCTATAATGTCCCAACACTTAGACCTTAACACTGGTGAATCCCTAAGTTTATGACCCTACATGCAGGGGACAGTACAGTACAGTAAACTACTCCATGGATAAAACTAACACTGGGTTTCACTGGGTCTAGAGCTCCTTTAGTATTCTGCCTGCCTCATATCTCAATCTAGCTTCACAATAACCCAACTTAAATTGATAAGCGGTGGATATTTTAACATGACCAGCTAAGTTCCTACCAACGCCATTTTACCATGAGTGAGCTCTGATTGGCTAATTGTCCATTACCGGTGAACAATGTGAGAGCTATACTTGACCACGACTCTAGCGGCATTTGGCATTTATTTCGCCTTGAGTCAATCGTTGTGTAGCAGTGAAATGCACCGCCAGCATTTTGCAAGCTTTTTGCTGCTGGTCGCTCAACCTAGGTTTTATTTTTTTCAGGTAGAAAACGTAGCCTGGTTCCTAACCTAACACCGTTTTTTTTTTTCAATCTACAGAACAGTCACGTGTGGGTTCTTGCATTGTTCACCAATCAGAGCGCACTCACAGTAAAATAGGAGGATGTATGCAAGAGCCAGAAGCCAAGCAAAGACAGAGTGTAGAAGGGCTGAAAAGGAGTTCCAGAGGCTGGTTGCAAGCAAGGTCAAGTCAAACCCAAAGGCGTTTTACCGCTATGCAAAGTCGAAATTGAAAACGCAAGTAGGAGTATCAGACCTGAGGCTTGTGGATGGTAGTTATGCAGATTCTGACCAGGATAAAGCTGAGGCATTGAACAGCTTTTTTTCCTCGGTGTTCACATGAGAGGATGCAACTAACCTTCCTGCGTTTGAGGACGGACGGTTCGACACAGCACTGACCCACATTGTGTTCACAGAAAAGGGTATTAGAAATAAACTGTCCAGGCTAAGGGTCCATAAGAGTCCCGGCCCTGACATGGTGCATCCTAGAGTGCTAAGAGAGTTGTGCAACGAGCTTGCAGAGCCCCTGAAGATCCTGTTTTGTAAATGCCTGGATGAACAAATGGTCCCCAGTGAATGGAAAGTGGCTTATGCGAGTCCTATCTTCAAGAAGGGCGATCGGCACTCCACGAACAACTATAGACCAGTGAGCCTGACCAGCATAATATGTAAGGTACTTGAGAGTATTATCAGAGAAGCCGCAATGGAACATCTAATACGAAACAATCTTATAAAGGATTGCCAACACAGTTTTATGCCGGGGCGCTCCTGCTTAACACAAATGCTCAAGGTATTGGATATTTGGATCCATATTCTGGAAACGGGTGGTAATATCGACAATATTTACCTAGATTTTGCCAAGGCTTTGGACAGTGTACCCCATGAAAGGCTGAAAATCAAACTGGAAGGGTACGGAATTAGGGGAAATGTCCTTGCATGGATAGAAGACTTTCTACATGACCGCAAGCAGTGTGTGGTGATTAATGGCACGAAATCGTCATCCGTACCTGTCACAAGTGGGGTACCACAGGGCAGTGTATTGGGCCCGCTGTTGTTGTTTGTTTGTTTCATAAATGACATGCCTGACGTTGTACACTCCTCCATACAAAAGTTTGTCGATGACGCTAAGTTATTTCGGGAAATTAAGAACCAAGCTGACTGTGAAGAGCTGCAGAAGGACCTCTGTGGGCTCCAGGATTGGTCGAAGAAATGGCTGCTGAGATTCAATGTCACGAAGTGTAAGAGGATGCACCTGGGGCGTACCAACGGTAAGGAGGCGTATCATATGTCCCAACGGGATGAAGAAACTACACTAGTTGAGACTGAATGTGAGAAGGACCTAGGTGTGTATGTTGACAATGAGCTGAAGTTCTCGGGCCATTGCGAGAAGAAGGTAAACCAGGCAAATAAATTATTGGGTCTTATAAGAAGGTCGTTCAGATATCTAGACGGTCCGTCCCTCATAACGATCTTCAAGAGTGAAGTGCTTCTCCATCTGGAGTACTGTCACCCCGTCTGGTCCCCGAGATATGCTAGGGACTGTCAGTTGGTTGAAAATGTTGAAAGGAGGGCCACCAGATTGGTGCCTGCCCTTCGGCACCTCAGCTACCCTGAGAGATTGGAGTTCCTGAACTTGCCTAGCTTATATTACAGACGGGCAAGGGGTGACCTAGTACAGGTGTATAAGCATCTCAGGGGGCACTACTCAGTCGAGTGTCCTTACTTGGAGCTGGCGGACGCTCGCCCCACAAGGGGTCACAGCTCAAGATTGAAGAAGCCGCAAGTCCAGAAAACTGTGAGGGCAAACTTTTTCGGAATGAGGGTTGTAAACTCTTGGAACAATCTGCCAGAGTGTTGTGATGGCACCGAGTGCGAGCTCTTTCAAGACAAGACTTGACCTACATTGGAGCGGGTTCGGGTACATTCAGGAGCTGGTGCATGCCCAGTATTTGCCAACAGTGCGTGACAGAGACGTGACCGATCGCCCTGGCAGCTAGCGAGCCGATCTTTTGGTGAAGAGGATAAATGAAAAGGAAAACTAATCAGAGACGTGACCGATCGCCCAAGCGGCTTACGAGCCGATCAGTGGCAAAGAGGATAAAAGTAAAGTGGTAGGAACTTAGCCGGTCATGGCAAAATATCCTGAGCATAAGTGATATGAGGCTCATCTGCAGTCCAACTTATTTTTCATGGAAGCCTGTGCATCCAAATTAGACAGTAAATGCACAGATAGGATAAATGTGTACAGATAGCATGCAAAGTATCAACACAGCCCTGAACCTGGAGATACTGTACTGTACTCATGTTTTAGGGCACCCCACTGTTAAGGCTCTGTTGACTGGGGCTGTAACCAGTCCCCACCATGAGAACCCTTCTGGGAGAGTAAACAAATAAAAAATGGATATGAAAACCATTTATGAAAAGTAAAATCAATCTCGCCAATAAACTAATGCAGTATTCAAAAAGTAAATTGGTTAATATTCGTCCATTGGCTGTCCGCAGGTTCCCAACATGTTTACCTGAGGTTTTACTCCTCACTTTGAGTCAGTTGTCTCCTCCTTCCCTCCCCCCCCCCTCCCCCTTGTAGGTTAGGTTAGGTTGGTTCCTTAAATGTGAGAATAGGTTTTCTTTTGTGTTTTTTGGTGTGTTTTACTCAAATCTGACCTCCATTTTTTTGCAAATTAGCTGTCTGTTACTTTTATCCTCTTCACCACTGATTGGCTAATTTGCACAAGAAATGAAGGTCAGCTTTGACTAAAACACAACGAAAAATGTCTAGAAAAACCTTCTCATACCAAAACCTGAGAACAGCCAATAGTCAAGTTACTCATATTTATGATTTCCACACTGCTGTAGTTTTTACTTTGCTCCCCCACCAGATTTGCATTTTGTTAATATAAACCAACATTTCAGTAAATATCTCAACAAAGCTAAACTAAATTTTTACTTGCCTTCCTTTCAGGCATCAAGAGAACCCCCGAATGATTAGATGATGATTATGCCTGGAGCTTTAATAAACACTGTTGCCGGGAGTCGTCGCGTTTACAACAGTTTAAAAGTCATGGACACCCACACTACCAGTGGTTGGCGGAGAGGTGTAGCGGTAAAATTAACTAATTCCACTATTGTAAGATAATTTTGTATTGCAGTAAAATTAACTTATATTATTGCAATTAGTTAACTTTACCACCACACCTCCCCATCAACCACTGTAGTGCGATGTCCGTGACTGTTTTTTTTTTTTTAAGAGTCGACAGGAGAGAGTGATTAAAGCTCTGGGCGTCAATGGTTTTACATAAATTTAAAAGGAATTTTTGAGAATGGAACTTTTTTTTTTTCAATTAATTTACATACATATAAACACTCTTAGAGGGAGACAAAATATTCCTGAACTGAAATATACATTAATTGCAAATATAAATTTTATAACACTGATTCTGTAACATAGTTGTCTTATAAATTAGTTACACTGGCCTGAATAATGAATACATTGTAAAATTATGAACAAAAAGACACAGCAAATTCACACCCACATATATGCTGACAGACAAAAATAACATTAAAATATGCAAATTCATAAAAGCCATGCCTAAATTATATTGGAATACTGGAAGTAAAAAAAAATCAATGGTGTCATGGTCACGTTGACTGCTAGTCTGTTTTAGAACCTGATTCTTATTATACTCCACAACCGCAAAACATGATAATGGATAGCTGGTTTGCTATTCCTAAGAAGACGTGTTTTTCCCCATCGACGCTTATACTCATGATCCCTCCCACTAAGTCCCGCTTTCGAACACAGTTGTCAATACGTTTTATTTCCACTTTTTTCCTGGCAAGTTCAATCTTGAATTAGTTTATGTAAATCAACTCAAGTAATTCGCCAGACTTTGTCAACTGAGGGTGATCCTTAAATGAGTGACAGTTGGTTTGTCTGTGATTTTTGTCATTGCATGAGTAGCGATCACTGGCAACTCAGGGCTATATGAACCACTGCCGAGTAGAGAGTCGTCCTGTGACGCGTCCTCTCCAACTTGTCTACAGGTACAGGGGAAGGCTTAATTGAACACCCACCGGTCGCT